CCTCTTGCCGTTTTGGAACATCCGAGGATTCCGCGAACCCTAGGAAAAATTGAAAAGGCCGGTTCTCACGAATGACGTCAAAAGTACAGGGCGAATGGATTTTCGTTCCACGGAAACGATCAGCAGTAGCCTTCACCCAAATCGATTATACACCGGTTGGGTAAGAATACCGACTAACTATCCAAAGCAGAGGCGATTCGTTTTGTTTCGACAGCTTGAATAATCACAGCTGGTCACGTCGAAGGAACGCTCGTGATTCCGAGCATTTAATTATCCTCGTTCCAGATTCTGGACGAGGAACTCCAGCTGATCGTTACGAAGAGCCGCCGATGGTGCTTAAGGTAGCATTGTAGAGGCAATCGCAAGAAGAGATTATGCAAACGAAAAGATCCTAGCACAAATAGGTCGAAAAGTGTGGTGGAATAATTATCGTTCGCTCCCTAGACGATTTAAGTGCAAAACCCTCCATAAGCTCCATCAGCAATAATTAAGCACCGCAACAACGCCACGATTTGAACAAACGACTCGACGAAAACCCATCTAGAACTCACTCTAAGCGTTAATAGGCCGGCATGACAATAACAGATGTATATTTTACACATCGGAGAACACCAAAGCCGGCCAAAGGAGAAACGAGCTTGAACCGCTCGCGATCATTTGTCAAACGCGGACTACAATGCAGTTCCTAGCCGATGCACTATTTCGAGCAGGATTTTGTTGGGCTGCATGTCGCGCCGTATCATTTCAGCTAACAAATGCCTGGGTTAATCTACCACATCTAGATACGCGGATTCAACTTTAATAAATGGAAGGGAATTGCAGGAACCCGTAATCGTTGGCCTCTACCATGATGTGTTCTAGGAAACTCCTCCACGTTTTTTCTTCGTGAATTAATTACCAAGAGTGGTATATCAGTGTCACATCCTTGGGGTTTTCAGTGTAGGGACCAAGAAATTGCAAATTGCACCGTTTAATGTGCTGGGGTTTGGGGTCTCTAGTTGGGCTTTGGCAGGATTCCCATAATCGAGTGAGGGATTCGTGCATTGGCCGGGGCAGCACGTGTCCGAGGACTCGTGATCCGTGGATTCTGAGTTGGGCGTGACTGCCACGTAGAGTAATTTTATCACCGATGGAAATAATTTTGGCTGGTCCACGTTTCTGGCTGACAAGTCGCCACGCACCCACGCTAAATTTGTACCGAGGGAGACGAAACAGCTGTACTAGGATCAACGTAACGTGCACCTATGGGCGGCATTTTCCTGGAGAACCAAGAGACCATTGTTCACCAAAATTCTGAGAGACTAACTCGGGAGAATTCCCAGCAGCTTTGCCGAGGGAATTTCGTCCGTCCAAGAGCCCAATTTAGCCCCATATCCTCCAGGAAACTGCATCCTCGGGGCCTGTATATCCTCGTAAAAAATTCCCACATTCCTACGCTTTGACTTCCGACGTATTTGCAATCGGGCAATCGCCTTAAGTAAGGATGAAGTGTACAGGAAGAAAAAAAAAAAAAAGGAAAAAGTACTCGTTAGGAGGGTTTCGGCTTACTTCAGGGTGACTTATTGGGCTCGTTACGTACTTACGCGCGAACGCTCAAGATTAAAATCGGCGCAATAACCTCCCGCCAAATTGTACCGAGCATCCCGCGAGAAACAATCCAATTACCATTTTTTACCCGCGAAAATCACAATCTCCAGGTCGGACCGGTTTTTGGGGCCGCGGTTTCGAAAGCCCTCGAGCTGATCGCCGTGGAGGACGCCGATCTCGCGAAACGCGCCGATGAGATGTGTTGAGGTTGATGAGCTCCATCGATGAGCGTGGAGAACAAAGAAAAGATCCTCCCTTAGGAGCCAAAACCTCTGACCATAATTATTACGCCTTCATAAAAATTCTCTTCGCGAAATCTATAAATTTAACCCCTACTGTTCCAGTCATATCTCTTTTTTCCCGTTTCCCACCGTAATTAATTTTTTTTCCATGTATTAATTGGGTCGCAAAGTAACACAAAAGGGAGCCAGCCTCGATGCAGATTAACGAGAGTGCATGTCGCCTCGGATGTGTTAATACTTCTCGTAATAAGGCCCTGGTCTTGACGTACTTAGCCGGTGTCCATTGTACTGTCGTACATTGTTGTCACGAATGGTACGTGCGTGTGCAGTTGCAGTGTCATTAGTGCATCGTTATATTGCCCGATATATGCTAGCCGGTTATGTAATTGCACGTGACGCTTACGAGGTCTTGCCAATGGACTCGCTATTCCTGTCGATTCGATGCAATTGTTGATTGCCATTCATTATAGGTCGCGGTCTATTCAAGATAGGCCGAGCCATTTCTGAATGAACGGCGATAGAAAACCACGTTGACACGTATATCGAGCAGTACTTATTGTCAAAGCCGCACTACTTGCGCCATTCGTCATCCGACAAGAAGTCAGGGCAAGACGCCGCCTCGACAATGAAGTAATAATACCACTTGTCGCAAAAACCCGAGGAATTCATCGTGGGATATTTTACGGGGTGTAAGGAAGTTCCCCTTGATCGGGAATTACGTGCAGCGGCGTTAGGATCCACCTTTAACCTCCGAAGCAAGGAGCTCAATTAGCCCCACAATTGCCGGAGTCTAAGTCATGGAAGAGGTTAAACATCATCAAGTCAGTGGTTGGACGGGTTACCGAGACGAAGGCCCTTGAAACTAATTGCATCCACGTTATTAATTAATTATCGATCCGAAATTCTGCGCGGATGGTCCTAATCTATACCATAGAATCGTCCTATATCCCTCCCCGGAATAAAATCGACCATTATTCAGGAAGGAATTAGTTGAAAGAATAAAAATAGAAGAGAAGGTATACCTTAGGTCGATGGTTAAAAAGGAAAGACCGAAAACCAAGGCCAAGGAGGTGACTTCAGGGACGACTCGCAGTCTCGTTAATCCTCCCTTGACAACCTCCCTACTAGTCGCAGGATCAGCGATAAATCCTGGAGAACGGTGCGTGGGTCGTGCAATTTGCCGATCCGCCGAATTTATGCGGATCAGGGATCGCAGGCCGCGAAGATCCGCGATCCTCGATCGGATCTCTCGAAAACGGCCCTCTCGGGAGGCGAAAATGGCTCCTCGAGGAGGGAAGGACGAGGCTCTCAGAGGCGGAGACCGGCGCACCCAAGTGTCGAAGGTTACAGAACGTCAGTTAAAAGATCTCCGGAACACCGGGACCTTTGTCCCGAGGGCGGCGACGACGGCCACCTCGAAATCCCCTCGAAATCCTGGAGCCCTCTTCCGACCTCGAAACGAAGACGGTGAACATCCTGGGTGGTCGTCCTTCTTCCGATTTTCGGCGCTCCTCGCGAGAGCGACCTCGATTGAGATTGACCGAATAAAAAAATCCCCCCTCTATTTATGGAACGCCGATGTATTAATTAACAGCGCGATGGAAAGCGCCGATTATTTGTTGTGCTTTATTCTCGGGACCTCGTGAAAGGAGCGACTTGATAACAGTCGAGAGTCTCAGGCATTGCTCAAACGCTGCTTTCATTGCCAGGAAACTTGAGAAATGTTCCCCGAGTCCGGAGTAAAACGTACACGAGCGATAATCGGTCGGTTGTCTTGAATATTAATGACAGATACATATTTCATGGGAGGGGCTTGGCACAGAGGCTGGGGCTACTTCTTCAGGGTCGGAGGTTATCGAGCCTCCGGGCGGACGGACGGACACGCGAACGGAATTGGGCGAAAGTGTTACATGCACGTATTATTTTCGAATCCGATGCATTTCTGCTAACTGCATTTATTAAGTTGGGTAGGAAAATTCATTTTCAAGCGATATTTTCAATTTCATTTTCAGAGATATCGGCGTAGAATGTCGTAGTTCCTTATCAAGGGGTCTTCGAGATAGGATGGAACTGGGTGATAGTCGAGATAGAGTTCCTGGGCACTTTCGGAATTTGTCGCACGTCCACCTCGGATTACGTGGAGGAAATCACGTAGAGGACTCGAAGAGCCGAGGAGGAGAGGCAAAGATTACTTTCGATTTCCGTGGAAGAATCCCAAACGCGTGTCGAGTTTGAAAAAAGTCCCTTTCCGAAGTCTCGAGTTTAGTGCCCGAAAATTCTCTGGATGCACCTTCGCAGGACCCGATGCACTTCTGGGCTGCACAATTCCGGGCACGAAATTGCGATCGGGGCTCGAGTTTCGGCATATGTACATACATTACCATCGAATTGAGGAGTTACGGGAGGAGATCGATCACGGAGGAAGATCACAAAAGAATCTGCTTACGGCATTTGAAATTCAAAGTCCGGGGCCCTCGAAAGAGGCTCGTTTCATATGGACTACATGTTAAAGGAACATATATGTATATATTTCTGCATTGCTGATAATTTGAAATTCGAGCTCCCCGCTGTTTTTTTCCGACACTTCGGGTTGACTTATGCGAGAAGTCGTCTGGCTCGATCAAAATACGATGAAAATATACAAAACGCGGTGGCAAGGTTCAGACTTTACGTAACCCCCTGACTTTTCTTCGTTTTTTTGAATAATAGGAATCGTCTCGCAGTGAGTTTGAAAATAAACGAGACGACGTTACGTCGTAGCGAAAAATGTCCTCGGGGTGAATTCTCGGGAATTTTCCTCCGAGGTCTCGGAAGAGATATCATATTTTGAGAGCTGAGAATATTTCGACGCGCGTTTAGAAGAAGTCGAAGCATATAGGGCGCCCCTGAGAATCGGAGAGCACCGCAGATGAAACTAGATCATCCCGAAGTGGGGCAATTCTTTCTGAAGAAATGACAAGGATGACAAGAAGACGCAGTGGGAATTTCACTTGGATACATCCACTCACGTATCAGAAATCCGATACGTGATTGGTTTTATTCATGAGAGGTGATTTTTACCACGTCGCGTTTCTTGTCGCCCATCTCGAATGACCCTCAATTACGGTGGCGGTCTCCTTCCAAATCGATTTATATCGGCCAATTTGAAGAAAATCGCGGGTTTCGACTTACCTTCGTACATCTGCGCGTACTGCGGAAAACCGGCAGCCCTCAGCCATTCGCACGCTTCCTGGGCTTCGATTTCTGCAATCAAACAATAAAACGAAGCGAAGGTTAATTTCCCACGAAGGTAGCCAAGCGAGACATTGATAAATTCATAAATATTAAAACCTGTCACGAGGTCTGACAAACATTCAGAGGAGCTCTGATTGTCCCTGCAAAACGGTTCGAATAGTTTCCCTTTCGATCGGGACAGGCACATAAAGTGCGCGATCAGCTGGCACGATTGATCGAGTCTCGGTATCGATACGGTATCGATCACGCGTCGCAATGGCCCGACAGAAAATCAATCTTCATTAGGGAAGCAGAAACGGAGACATTAGTTCGGCGTTTGTTGGCTTGCCAGCAGGGTCGGCCATTTTTCCTGCACTTATTCTTTTCTCTTGCTCCTTTCCTTCCCAGAGAGCGAACATGCTCGCTCGGCTCGAGGACGATTATGGTTGCGATGTAGCGCCACGTGTACGTCGTCTTCGAGACCGACTTCATATGTCCGGAGAATCGAGAGACGATCCTGCAGACTCGTAGAATATTCAAGATTCGCCATCTGCGAAACACGTACCGAGAGGGGATTTTATTCCCTTGGATTTTCCCGTCCATACGTCCCTTTAAATTATACTCCCTAGAAGATATAAAAAATTCATTGACAAAATTTCGACAGATCTATTGGCGACCGTAGGAATTCAGAAAAAAAATTAAAAAGCTCGGTTGAACGACGTTAAAAATTACTTCATCCTTAAATACCGTTTAGGGGAATAAAATCGAGGATGGAAATCAACTCTTTCCGTGTTTCAATTAAACTCTGCAAATATTCTGCAGCTTTCCGGGCCCTCGTTCAACATGGCGTTACCCCTCGATAGGGCCCCCTCGTTCCATTACTGTCCAGTACAGTACACGAGTACGTAAGACCATGTACACGATAGCCTAGAAAAAAACGAGTGCAACGTTGCACCGTGGAATGCGCTGCATTACCAATGAGCGATCGCCAACATGGAGGGCGCAAGATTAAAAGCGCAATGAGCGATCGCCCAAGCAATGCGTACATTTTTTTTTAAACACAAGTAAAGTTTACTCGACGCCTCTCGACGCCATTTTGTGAAAAATCACATCATTAAATTAATTAACAAGAATTCGCGCGAACCTAAATCCGGCAGCGTGGGCGAGGTCAGGAACGCTAAGCACTTTCCTCGAGAAAAAGGTAAAAAAAAAAAAGTAAAATACGAGAAAAGTCCTTCCCAAGGCGTCAAAAACTCCCCTCCGGTATTGCCCCATATAACACGAGGGCTTGTCGTAAACTCGGCGATAGGAGACCGAACGATTTATGGGGGTCGTCCAAGTCGACGGGGCCAGGATAACGAAGTCCAACAAGAGAAAAACTAGCACGGAAAATAGTGTATGGTAGACAGGTCATGGCTCGGAGCATAGTGATTTATCCCTGGCAAGTAAGCGAGCATACGAGGGCTCGAATTCGAGCGCCATGTTGGTCCCATGCCGACCCCTTGCATCGGAGTTCCCGTCCAGAGGGTGCATTCCGGTTCCCCGTGCATTTTCCTCGGAACGTCTTGAAACCGAATCCCATGAGGCAATAAAAAAAGGTGCATTAAATTCCAAGTGCCTCGCACGTAGGTGCCCGGCATGAGCTACGAGCCCACCCATGATCCATGGGGTACCATGGGCAGAAAAATGGCCCACGGTCCCTGGGACCGCATACATTAGAATCCCAAGCAGTTCCACGTAATTGTTACGTGCTCGCATTCATTCCTCGAGGTGGTTCCGACCTGCGACAATGCGACACTTCTCGATCCCCCCCGCCGTGATTAGGACTAATTGCGGGCCGCACATAAATCGAAATTAATGCCTATGGGATTTCTGGCCGGAGGTGTCATTTATGACACCTTCGCTCGAAGGCGCGACGCAGCTCGCGAGGTAACGCCTGATGCTCGTTACGACTTCCGCGTGGTAATGAGGAAACGGCCGTACATGCGTTACGACCGGTTTACCGCAGTCTTATGGTTGGCAAAGTGAGTGATTAATATATTGTTTTAAGGACTAGCTCGGGACGACGCGGGGTTATAATATCTCGGACTTTTATCCCTCGGATCGTGTGGAATTTATTTTGCTGTACAAAGGAGGAAGTGAGTCCCCATCGATTATCAGGGATCGCGTAATCGAGGGTCACTTTCTTGAGCATTCGATATATTACCCGAAGTTTGACCCCCTGGAAGCGATGAAAAAAAGTAACGAGACCTCCAGCGCAAAGGGGAAGTCCTTCCCATCACCGCTGGAGGACTCGAAGGACTCCGAGAAGGACGCCTCGCGTAAACCAATCTCGGGGACATGAAAGTTCATCCGAGATGCACCTGGGGGGTCGGGGGGCGGAGGTAAAAGAATCCGTTAAAGGAGATCCGGAGCGATTCCATCAGACTTCTGTCAGGCGAAGGGGAAGAGGACGAAAGTCCTCCTTACGAGCTGAAAGGAGCGAACTCGACGATGAGTTCTAGCCCACGAAATCAACTCATTTAAATAAGTCCCTTCTTGGGATCTCTTTCTCGCTCTCGAAATTGACTTTGGCCGACGTACGCGGGTCTCGCCTCGGCTTTTCTATTTGACTAACATGAGTCGCGGTAATCCAGACCCGCGGACATGTCTCGGGGTAATGGCGATCGCGTTGCGGTAGGTCGTTGCCTCGCGCTGCTCGGAAACGGAACGTACGTCGACGTAAACGACCGGCGTGTAGGTGCGTCACTTCGTGCGGAATAAGTCGGCAATGGTTTCGTAAGGTTCGCCCTTACGTAATTTAAGTGGACGGCATTAGACGCGTTACCTGGGCCGAGCTTGAGATTATTTTCTGTGTACCGATGGCGCAATCTCTGCAGCTGCATCAAAAGATCGGGCCCAATAAATGCCCTCGTCGACCTGGCACTCCCTAAAAATTTCTAAACCCGATTCATAAACGCGAGAAACCAAGGAGCCATACGAGGAATAAATTAAGCTCATCTTTCCCATGTTTAGGAATTTTTTCATTGGGACGCCCCAACCCAATAAACACAAAATAGTGGAATAAACGCATAAAATCAACGTTTCTTATGAATGAAAACTTAACGTTGAAAAAAAAATCATCGGTGGATAACGTTCAATGTTTACACCTATCACCCTATTTCCATTAGATTTGCGTATATAAGATGTGAAATCAATACTTTGTGTTTATTGGGAAGTGTGTCGCGTGCGATGGGAAAATCCGCGGAAAATCGGGCGACCGCGACCCTCCAGAGCGGCAGAGCTCGCAAGACGTGCTGTTTGCATTTCATTAATTCGACGTCCGTCCTGACACGCATAATCCATCATTGATAGCTCGCAGATACAGCGGCACGTAGCGCAAGCTCCATTAGCAATTGTTGCCGTGCTCTTCTCGGAGGCGATGCACCGGTGCAATGCCAAGGTACTCCTCGCGCGGCGTGCGCACTTCTCCGGGAGATTTTTAATAAGCCCTCGTTTGCGCGGGACAAAAAGCTGAGAGAGCCTTCGGGATTGTTTACGGGGAAGTGGGTTTCTCCAGAGAAAATAGAGGGAAATGCAAAGGGAAAGGAAAAGGCTAAAGAGACAACGGGAAGACGGCTGATGTCCTCGCGCCTTGTTCAGGTCTTCTCCGCAGCACTTTCCCCCATTTCTCCCATTTTTCCTGGTGAAGTTATGAGCCCCCTTTCAGGTTACCCAGGCGACTTAAGTTCTCGAATTCCCAAGAGGCAATGGCGGCCAAAACACGGCGGACGCGCCGTTTCGAAAATGCTATCGAAATCCGTGACTCACGAGCCATGACCTACTCCAACGCTCGAGGCGGAGGCCAAGGCACAAATAATGTCGGGCAATGATATAAGCTCGAGCTTTCGAGGCTTTCTGCGAGCCAGTGCCTAAATATTATCTTCTAGAATTTGGGAAACTAGCTGGAGATTCAGAAATCAGCAAAATCGACGACGATGGTGCCACTCGGTACAGCTCGTCGCTCCCACTCGGTGATACCGATAAATCCTGACAATAAGTATTATCCGCGAGTAGGCATTAATTACAATTAGCGCCTCCGCGATGCATCGCTATTTCCTTCTGGATGATTAATTGAAAACTTTCGTGCCGCCAAGAGCGGATATCGTAATTTCTCCAGGAAGTCGTAAGGTATCCCAATGGACCCGCAAAAGTGCATAGGTACCCCAAAGCCGCTGCGTTTTCTCCGCTTTTCTCCCGGTGTGTCGAGATTTTTCCACCGTGCCTATTTTTTCTCTCTTTTCGAGATCTCGGTCGAGGTTCCTGACGGGTTGCTCGCAGGTTCTCTCGGCTCTTACTGAGAGCAACAAATTGCTGGATGTACCTGGCGTAACGCGCACGAGAGCACTAATGAAGACGCCCCCTGGCCGTAGCAGCCACCGATGGATTGGTTGTCAGTTTCGAGACAAATGATTCGGCCCAAGGCGTCTCCGGTTTCTGAAAAATCCTCGATTTTTCCAAAAAACCAAATATACCCGTCCACCTCGGCGGTTCACCGCGGGGCTGGAGTCAATTTTACCCGGGAACAATGTTGATGAGTTTGCGGTGCACCTCGTAGCAATGTGCCCTGCATATGCATGCGCCGTAAAGAAGCGAGCTGGCAATTAGAAAAGGAAATACCGAAGGAAACGCTATTAATCATTTTTTAACCAGCTACGACGATGATCAGGGCTCCTTGGAACTTTCTCATCCCGAGACGACGATATCAATTTGTTATTAAACATTTCAGCCGCGATATTCCTTTTCCTCCTCGGTTTGTTAATGGTTCCCTTGCCGGGACACGTTATAGGCATCCATTCGCGTGCATGTGAAATGGAGAATAATGAAGTGCAGAGCGGACAAATGAAGATGCCCGCTGGTCGTTAGACCGCCGACGGTTCGGTTGTCAGTCTCCAGACAAACGATCGGACCAGGTTGCCGAGGGCGGGCTTTTTCAAAAATGCACGTAACGTCGGGATCTTTTTTTTTTTATGAATTTATGTACGATATTC